TAAAAGTGAGATCAACATTTACATTGCATATCAAAGTGTTCTATCAGTTAAAATTTTGTTTATTAATACGCACAGATTTAACGAGCGGTACAGTTCGTACTTATAGGGCAACGAAGGAAGCAAAACACTACGAAAGAAAACCTACCAAACACATGACTCAGTGTGTCCTTCCGTAGGACAGGTAGAGCATACAGGACTCATGTTCACCACCCTAAGTATAAGTGGCCCTGGAGCATATCTGCATAGCCTGAATATGTTGAACAATTTTCATCGACACAGTTCTGCATTCCAACTGACGATGAAAACATTGGTTCCTATTACCACGAATCCTGAAGCTGAATATTTAGTAAGTGGGAAGACTTGCATCAAGAGTCGGACAATTGAAGGTCAGGGAGGGAATAAATGAGGACAGGATGGTTTTCAGATAGAATAAACTATTTTATTTTCAGCCCAAATGTGTTTTCAAAGTCACTGAGCAGCTTATTAGTGACAGTCAGGCAGGACAAGTCAGTACACAGAATCGTGTGGCTCCCATGCAAATAATGTATATTAGATTTTCACACCACGGAAAATGTGCAATTCCGAGATTAGGTCATGCGTTCTAGCAGCAAAGATAGGGACAATTAATATAGAGTAAAATGTTATTCCTACATGTCCTTGTTTAAAACATGGTTCTGCTCCATATGCGCTTCTGATAGTGAGTCTTTTGATAGATTAGTTGGATTATCATCGTCTTGATATGAGTTTAGGATGTTGATATTATGGATTTTTTGTACTGGATTTATTTTGTAACATACCAAATTATATAAGAACTAATACTGAATGAAAACGAAGCGGGTGTATGTAACTTTTCACCTATAGAGGTAGACACTGTGATGAGTACGAAACCCCTGGTAAAATATTTTGATTGAGATGATTCTTAGCTGTTGTTTGTACAAATGTGGCATTAATTCATAACTCACAATGATAAATCAGAGGGAATACGATAACAAAATTTACACTCTGTGCCCCCAACTTTAGTTCACAAAGAAGTCAGCGACTTAGTTTTAAGTCCTTTCACGTCTCAACCGTACATTATTTTAGAATGTGAGATAGTGAATAAAGTATTTTTATCAGGCAGTCGAAGAATACAAGGGCATTCCCAGGGAGAGATATTAAGTAACAGTTCACCATGCGAATTATGAAAGTGTTTATCTCATCGTGTGAGAAATTATGCTTATCTTCCTGGTTTTCATTCTGCACGACATTACATATCATATTTACAAATATACTATGGGATGAAAAGCTTGTAAGAGCTGACCTAGTCAAAATCTCATATTGTCAAACAAGTTGATTTAAGGTTGTAATGATTCCTGTTTTCATGAAGACGTTTCACTCAATTGTGGAGTGTCTATTTACCTATTTCATGTATATATGCATACACTGATTTACATTTTTTTGCAAGTGAAACTTGTTTAAACATTGTGTACTGTGGATTGCATATTGCACTAAACATTTGTAACAATAATAGCTGTGATGACGGAACACGAGTGAACTCGAGGAAGCTGTAGGAGGCTCATAAGGAGCCGAAACTATCCCATCCAATCACCTTTTGGGAGAATGTTCCAGGATTCTTACGTGTAGCTTCCCGATTGGAAAATGCTAATAACGCCCTGTATGCTGATTGGTGGACTGTAATGATGATTTTGTTCTTACTACAAACTATAAATACCTGACAATTTTGTACTATAATTGACATTGTCTGGGAATAATATTCCTTTCATTAGTCTTCTCATTACGACTTGGAAGGGTTCTGGCGTTCTAGTGCTCACGTTATACGCGGTGTATCAAGAAAAACCTTCTAGATACAGCAATAGCCAAGAAGGCTTAAGTATCTTGATTGTCACGCAATGCTTAGAGTGGCTTACCGTGACAATGGGGTCTTTCAGGATAGTTCACAACAATGAACATTCTGCAAATCTTATGGTTTATGATCCATCAAGTACAAGATGGTCTCTTGAGAAGGAGAACTCAGCTTCATTAATGCAACAAGCATCCATGCTGGATAATGTAGTTTGAAGGATACATTTCCCGAAGTATTCACTATTAGTGACGTAAGCAACCTAAAGTATAAACTCTCTTCGAGCAAGTGTGTAGTTAAACCTCTGAAAGCTAGCTACTCTAGAAATGATGAGATGCTGAAATGGTTTTACTTAATAGACGGAATTCCTACTAGATGCTTTTACGACCCAATAATACTGAACTGTATGGAAAGTATCCTGAAGTGTTGTGCATTGATTCGACATAGAGTTTATATAGAAGACGGAAAAAGTTACTTCAAAATGATTTTGTAGGTATTCCTGGTTCCTACAAGCTATCGCTGATAACTGCAGTTGGGATCACACTGTTCCGTTTGGCTGGACGAGAGGAGTTATTCGAGGTTGTGAAAATAATATTGGATACCGTTGCAAGCATTATGGTGGATTCCTTGGACACAAAAGCTTTCGTCATGGGTTGTATGCAAGTCCCTACCAGGCATAGGCACCTCAATATCCTGCTGTGCTATTTACATGCATGCAGGGCTGCCAGAAGGTAAATGTGATTGTAATTAGTGTGAATCTTTCCTCAGTTCCGATAGTATATTTTTTGACTAATGCAAACGAAAAACATCAAACGATAGAGTTTGTTCCATGTATACTGTGTGGTCGTAACCATAATTTATGAGTGATTTAACGAAAAGACAGATGCATCCCAGTATATCTAACAGTGACTGATAATATCCATAAAACGACCCCTAAAAATTGCATGAATAACCACACCTAGTCGCCAAATTAACAACTGCAGAAATGCGTTATACATTTGTATGATGTTGTGTGGATGTCACAATACTCAACAGAAAACATAACAAGGAACTAATTGGATTCATCTGACGTCATTTCCTGGTCGTTCCACCGAGGTCTGTGGGTCTTAGTTTTCGACGAAAAACGACCTGCAGCGGTATGAGAAATAGACCGGAGTTACGAATTTTTTAAAGGACGAGTAAGTGCAGTACGAGATAAAATTATTATCTGGGGGATGCAAATGGAGAACTAACTGGATTTTCCGCTATCCATATGGCCACGTGTTAGCTACACATTTGAGGAGACAACGTTTTACAGATGAGTGCTAGATCTACAGGAAGACATCAAATTACTTTGAAATTGCAGGAGTCACATGGAGATGGCTTTCCTCACAGTGCTTCTTATTTTCTTAGACGGTAACGGGAATTCCTGGATAATATACAATGCGTTTGAGTGAACAACCGAAGAATATTACTGGTTCATGAATACCCCTTGACTGTCAAGATCCAGGAGTAAAAGAACATATATATCTGGTAGGACTACTCTGTAATATACCTTAGTCTGATCTCCTATTTTCGTCAAACCTTGTAGCACTTAACCAATACTCATTATCCATATGGAATTTCCCTAGTCACATAACTTCAACAAACAGGTCTGTCTCAAGAACGTCTTTTTATAGGGAAGCCATCATTAAAACTTGTTCACAGAATACCATATATTATCACAGTTTTGTGAAGACAGAAAATTCTGGTTTTACCGTTGCAGAGACTGAAGTCTTGGCGTAAACACAGACTCCACTGACCATTTTTGACGATTTCACGGTAATAATATGAGGGACTTACAAAACACATCATTTTCGAAATCTGAAATGTCAAACGCAAAAGATGTTGAGTGACATGGACGCCGGTTGAATATACGATAATTCATGCCTCAACTGCCAATCAATTAAAAGACGAACTTCCTCATATACCTATGCACTTGTTGTTACTGACCATGCAGCCACTAGACAGGTCAAGTGTTTCACCGGGCAGAACTACAGAGAACCAGGCTAACCATGTCATTAAAAGTTCAAGTCAATCGAAGACGTTAGAACAAAAACAGGAGCTGATGTAGCTTAGAATCATCATTTGGTGCTGAAGTTGAAACATTGGAAAACTGGACAAGCAACACTCAATACAACCTTCTAAGTGCTACGTACTTAAGTCCTTTTATTTGATGATAAAAAATTGAATGTGATGAATAAGTGGGCATTCCATAAGTTGTTTTTGATCAGCCCATTACACTTCTTCAGTAATGTAAGGTAAAGCCCCGTTTTTTCATCCAACTAATACAACATAAAATAACAACCTAAATTTCGACACCACTAAAAGAGGGATTTGGAGTTATTTATAGTTTATGCGATTCCTCCAGTCTTTTCCATTGAAACCTTTTTTATTTGACATATGAAGCTTGTAAATCTGTATATTGCGTGATCTGAATTACGGTAAAGACATTGACGCTCTTGGAATTCGCTCTAAAACAATTAATTTACCATCGCTTGTCAGAAAATACATACATAAATCAGAAGATATTTTACTTCTTATACAGGATGATATTATATCTAGTGACGATACGGATGTGTAAGTATCATCTATTAACTCTTCTGCAGATTATCCTTGTTGACTGGTTTGTGAACTACATGGGAAGAGACTCAAATATGTATTCCCTTTATTTGGTAGTACAAGTAGAAGAGCTTATAGTATTTGGACTACTATAAGACGAAGTTACGAGTCAACATAATGAACCAATTGTCCATAAAAAGGGATGGGAATTATTATGACTGAAACTTAAGCGCACCCAGTATTCTATAACATGAAGTGAAGAATACTCCACATGAGAGTGAATATGTGAACTACAGTATATTATACACTGCTTGGAACAGAATATCTAAGACAAGACAGAAAGACAAATCCGTACAAATTAAGGAGTGAAGAAGCGAATACATACCGACTGTATATGGGTGGTCTCTAAATAGAAATACATACACATACCATAATGGAGCAAATTACAGGTGAAAGTTTAAGTGTATAATAAGTTTGTAAAGAAATGATGCTAAAAGAGTATCCAGAATGGCATGAGACATGAATTAAGATATGAGTGATCATTCGGCGTTAATTTTGAGGGTTAAAAGTGGAATTTTTGTTAACTTTGAGCATCCAGTTGCGTTTTTGCGAACACCCTGAAAATAATCAAGAAAGAAAGTGGGCAAAACACTTTTATAAATATATACTGAAGATAATCTACTATGAGACATGAGGACGTGGGAAATTCTTTTATGCGTCTTATCATTATTATTCGGGGTGCCCTATGAAGCAAACATTATTAATGATTTAATAAGCGGCGGAATGGGTCTACAATCAGTAAGATGAAAACATAATATGAAGTAGGTGTTTGATAAATGACCATGTTTAATGTGGAGAAGGTTGCAATGAAAGACTTACCATTTGCCAAAAATCTTCACTACTTTGACTTAATCACTGAAAAGATTATTATAGGACAGCGAAATTATATACGCCATCCATAATAAAACCTTAATATCATCTAACGATCGATTAGAAATGTAAATGTTTTTGATCTAAAGGAAATTTACTGATGATAGTTCTCCGACGACAATCGCAAACATTTGTACAATCACACAAAATAACACCTTTGCATTTGTAACACATTCATGAAAAACACTACTTATTAAATGTTGAAATAGAGGAATAAAAAAACAAAAAGCTGTAGTCGGTAAATAAATTTGGATTAGTGATCTTAATAGTCGACTTGGCATAAAAACAGAAGACAAAACATTCACGATATTAGTCATTATGAATGTACAAAAACAAAGTTCTCTAATGAATATTAATAAATATGAGGGGTCCAAAACTATCTATCAAAGCGTATTCCCACACACTGAAATTAGTACTTACACACAAGTTCGTACAACAGGTGGAGGTACGATTGGTTGTAGGATAGTAACAAATACTATCTATTTAAAATACATTGGTTACAGCGAGCAGCTTTTCATTAGAAGTCAAGTTCCTAAAACTATATGTCTAAATTAACGAGCGATGTACATAACAATAAATCGAGTAATGGAAATTTGTGTGAAAATACTGAAAGTGATGTAGACATCAGTGTGTAAAACCCTACTAATACGTGATAAAATATTCAACATTGCACAATAATAAACTTGATTTCGATACAAACTCATGACTTCGAGATCTTAAACAACAAACATCACATAAATAATTGAAACAATCAATAAAAATTTTCTAGTTTTAGTTAGTTCACAACCTGTCCAAAAAAGTAAACACTGTTGGAGTAAGCTATTTTATAAAATACTGAATTTACCGTTACAGAGCACAACCAAAAAGCATTTAAGTTCTGCTTTATCTATCCAAAACTTTGGTATTACATAAACATTGAAATTTATATTATTGTAAATAACCAGTTAAAAAAACGTTGAATCAATCAAGTTTGAATATTTAAAGACATAAGCTAGATACTAACACAAGCTAACTGGAATTGGTTTAAACGATTACTTGTTACAAAAAGATTATGTCAGTGGTTATATGAAGAATGAACCTTTTTTTACTTTATCAATTATAGACAGTGATTAATTCCCTATATTTTCCAAATATGTTTGTAAAACTATGGACATAAATAGTACGCTGAGTTGAGAAAACTATGGTGAAATAGTGTAAACTATGTAACAACCTGTAAATATAATAAAAAAAATGAAATGAACTGACTTGTTCATATTGTAAAAATATAACTATTGTTTGATTGTGACAAAATGACTTACTTATTCTGTCGGAAATGAGTATTGAAAAAGTTCTCTACATAAGCGCGTCTAAAAATAAAAAAAAATTATTAGAGGTCATTCAAGGACATGTAAGATTCAAGAAAATCTTGTTATATCCACAATATTTAAAAATGATTTAAGTCAAGAAAATTAATCATGATGGGATACGAAGCGAAGTCGATGGTAAAAACCAAGCACCTCACCAGGAAAAAAAAGCTACTACATTATTGGAACACATTAGATACAGTATGGCCACCGAGAACTGAATTAAAGAAATTTACGCAACTAAGCATCCAAGATCATTTTAAGCCAAATATGATAAACGACGAAAAGAGATGTTAACGAGTTACCCTTAACTAATCAATCAAAGTCAGACACAAAGGTTAAATTTCGACAGAACAATGGGAAGACAAAGGTTAAACCAAGAACAGCCGTGACTCCGAAAGAATAAAGAACAAAATGAGAGGGGGAATCGAACTACCGAGATTTTATGAAAGTGCTGTTGAAATATGTATGATGAACAGCTAGTTTCTCGAAAATTCTAACAGATGGATAAAGGATTATGTTATGTTTTACGAAATGTCTAGAAGGATATTCATTAAAGGGAAAATACAATTTCAGTCATTTTAACATACAACAGCAGATGAAGTTATTTTTTTACGTTGGCACAACGGAGATTTAGTCTTCCATAAGTGGTAAGTCAAGTATAGATGAAGTGTATTTTTGCTAAATAAGTATTCAGAGTTGGTTTGACTTATATTACAGGCCAACAATCGAAACACTAATATTTATTAAGTACTTCTTGAGAGGATGATGAATAACCATCGCAATATTTAAAAACTAATTTCAAGATAAACTTAGTTTACTTAAATTCATAGTACTGTCGTTAGAATGAGAAGTAAATGTAAACAGGAATTGTGAGAATAGTTGAGTGCACATTTCGTTTCGAACGAACGGAAGTGAAATGTATTTAGTGCGACAACGAGAGGGATACTAAATAAAATTGTTCCTTTTTGTAATATGGGAGACCTTGGGGAGACTATTCCTAAAAACATGAAGAATAACTGGCATCTGTAATCATATAAATAAACTAACTTTGAAAAGCTTTATTGAAAAACCCTAGGGAATAGCCAGTACCAAGCACAAACAGATAGGCGGTGAATCTAACCATATTTTAGCAGATGAATACTCCATTCTAATATGGGACCTCATTTATCAATAAATACTATGACGTACAGGAGATTACATATTCATGCTATTTAATGATACTGTTACCTCTAAGGCAAAGACAGGGAATGGATAACTACATTTAGGGAGAACTAGTAAACTGAAGAGCAATGAGTGTGGCAGAAAATTTCAGTAACCATCTTTTGACTGAAAAACATGAATTTCAAATAACTTTCTTGCCATCGTATGGAACTTGTCTGGAATGTATAGAAAATATTTGTTGTACTACTTTACTCTGACATGCTAAAACATCACAGTTTGATAAGTAACTTTACAATACAATCCATGAACTCAATAAAAGTATCACTGGTAATTGTTAGTGTACCAAACTGATTTCTTCTATATCACCTTACTTGTAAGACATAAACTTATTTACAAAATACGAGATATAGTACTTTTTTAGAACTAGATTTTCGTGTGGGAGGATAACGACACTACTACTCTTCAAGCTGTATTTACCAATACTTGGTCTTTCTCATCTCCGTTGATACTACGAAAACTTCGACTCTTGCTACTTAATTCCACATCGTCGTGCTGATGTATGTGAATTAATGCTAACACCACGCAATTTTTTCCTCGTACTGGAAATTAAAATGCTAATTTAAAGGAAAACAGAATAAAAATGGAAGAAAAATGTTATTGGCAGTATTAAGTACAGAACCTGTTTATTCGTAGTAGTTGTGAAATATGATTTAAACGAAACAACTATTAGACATGAAACAATTTAGTATTTATATGGTCAAATTATGAACTAAATAGCCATGCTCACATTTTAGTTTTAACACTATACATATGCTGAGTTATCAAATCAATGTAAATAATTAGTATAATAACTATCAGTGAGGTGCTCACTTGGTGTTGAAGCCACCCGGAGGATAATTGGGAAGATTCATACTTTTAACTGCACTGGCGACATAATCCACATTCAAAAAGTTAGCATCTTCGCCGGCTGAATTAATTATATCTGAGTATGAATAAAGGTAAATGACATAAACACTTTGTGTACCAGTTTATGAATGTTACATTAACTAGACTTTAAAATCCAAACAAATGACTTATAGTATGTATAATGCAAATTAAAATACACATTGATTTAATTTGTATGGCTAATTAAGCCAATTTATGGTGAAAACATTTTAAAGCGAGTGACTGTATAAAACGAAAATGTAACTAGTACGGTGCAGGTTTGATCTAACATAAAGGGCGACTAAATCGTAACGTCGAAAGATTGGATTTTATTTTCAACCTACTGTTCAGAAATGAATCGGTAATTAATGGTGGAACTTTATTGTCTCAAAGACAATGTGAAACGCCTTGTGGATTAAAATTTCATGAGTTATAGGTGTATTGAGTGATCAAGAACTTGAAATGTGGATAAAGGATAAAAGATAACAAATGTTAGAGAAAAGTAATCTTATTCGTAAAACAATAATACTAGCGGTACTATTGTATTGTATTTTCCAATCAAATACATCGGGTACTTTACAATAAATTTCATGGAATGAATGAGTGAATGGATAATATGAGAAACAGGTCCAGGTTGATATGATAGGAAGATATTGAAACTTCATGCTTCATTTGTTCGCCGAGAGTCCTCAACGTAAGTCTAAAAAATAAATACCATCGTAAGGAAATCGATCTACGCGTGTTTCAATTAACGTAAATTATGACAAACAATAAAAAGTGAATTCACTGAACATCTGTCCTAAATAAATTCACTTATTTAAACGATGTGTAACCGTTTTTTATAACATAAATTTAAAGACATAAAAGCAGAGGAAAGGTTATTTATCCAGTGTTTGAATGTCTTCAACAACCAATAAAGCGGTCAAATGAAAATGTTATTAAAAAAATATATCTATGATGAGTAAGCTTACCAACAATCATATTGTTTAAGGAAGTATCTAATTCCATTTCTTTACAAACTGCCTCTGGATTCACAGTTGGGGCGGCATCTAGCGCTACCAGGAGGACACTCATATTATCGCGACTACCCTGAAGAAACCAAGGTAACAAAAAAACAGTATGATAGTAAAAAATAATCACGTAAGAAAATGATTTTAATTTCATTTTAAGACTTCATTTTATGAGACTAACAAACTGATTACTGTTGAGTTGATTATTGGGAACCGAGCAACTCAAATGAAGTGTATTTTAGGACAACTTTTCATCTAACATGTAAATGACATGCAAGAATCATTCAAAACTAACCATGGAAAAATTGAAGTAACAATTAATAGACAATCAATATGTGAGGGGTGAAACTTCATTCATTTTCAAACTAATTGGGAAGAAAAAAACTTGATACTCATAGTGGATAAGTTGGTGATCTGGCTATAAAATAAGCAATTGAAAATTCTAGTAAATACGGTACAATGAGACTAATATTTCAAATTATCTTTCAGCATTAAATATACCCTTGTCTTGCTAAACATTAATGCTTATTATCTGCTTTGTAAGTCATCGGAACTTTGGCATACCATTTATTATGTACATGCCAGGACTAAATGATGACCCTTGTATGTATATTATTAGAGTTATGTTAACAATTTAACTTTCAAAGAAATAATGGTCAATAAACATATTTCCGATTTGTTTTTAAGCAGCATTTTGATAATATATATATTTGGTAATTGAAAGTTGGTATTTTTAAAGCACTCTTAATATTGATTATTTACACAGTAATACTCACACAGAAAACAACTACAGTTGGAAACAGGGTGAATATAAAACCGGAAATGTAGTATGTTTTGCAATAAGTCACTGTAGCAGCATCTAGTATTTTTAGAAAGCAAACTTAAATGTTCGTCACTGCTCATTAAAAACAATCCTTTTAGCTCTGAATTTTAATTTTCAAGTTGCAATCGTCAAAGCCTACTGATCATGGATAAAACTCATTTCGTGATGGAGTTTGTGTAATTTGTATTCACACACGTGATTGCGATTGTCTTTAACCTATATCTAAATGATATGTAATTAAACTCAATCTTAGTATTTTTTATAGTGCAGCAGTGCAGTGATAAATTCAGATGTTTACTTTACAATTAATAAACTACGACAGTTGTCAATCACAACAACAATGGTAGTTCACTGGTCACTTGACAAACTAACCTTGTGCAAACTAGTGTCGAGAATTTCTGAACAAACATCCGCCAAAGATGGCAAGCAACACAACCGATGAAGGACGTATGTAGTGAGAGTGTCGTTTTCAAACACGTCCCAAATTCCATCACAAGCAAGAAGAAGAACTTGATCGAATTCTTTTCTGCGTTCAACAATGAATATATCTGGTTCAGGAGAAACAAGCTGCTCTGTCGCTCCGCGATTAAGCACTTGTTTGTATTCGAAGTCACCCAGAGATCTGCAGACAAAAATACAATTCAATGTGAGGCACTGGCAATAAAAATATAGGCCACTTACACAAACTTCCCCTAAGGGGTTACATCTCAGAAAGCTTCCAAGAATATTTAATCTAATTTACCTCAACTAAATATGAACCAATCAGTCAACGGCAACGTAGAACCTGGTACATTGGTTCAAGTTGTCAAATCCTATTAACATGGCGCAATGAAATGGCCATGGTAAATCTCGAAGTAGTAGAGGGAGTCACAATAATAGTGGTAATAGAAATTAAGTGTTGAAAATACAATTTGAGAAGTGAAACGACACAGAGAAAATTTACGAGGTTTGGGTGCCTCTAGCTTCCTTCCAATTTACAATTACATCAACCATAGTCGTCAACGTAGTCCGTGGAGCATAGGTAATACATATCGCAACCACCTTAGTCAACCAAGAACAATAATCTCGTCACGCGCTTTACCGTACTTTCCTAATACTCTGAGTCCAACATCCGAAATGGCAACTCGATGAACTAAATATGAAGATTAAGATTGAACATATTTTGCAGTAATAGTGAAGCTTTTGTACAATATTTTCGCTTCTAAGTTATTTCCAATTAATTAATGTTTTAATACAAAAGGAAAATGTTTGCTAGTGTGAAGGACAGAAATCAGAACAAATACGTGCAAGGCTGGAGAGACGAACACTAGATGTTGTACTGATTCTAAAACGGATAACAACGTTACTTTTCATTACAATGTTGATAAATATGTGAGTAGAAAGATTAATGAGAACCAGGAAAACCAAGAAACGTGATGTAACAACACACACTTCTTTGATAAACAAAAACCCGACAGAAATAGTGAGAATGAGTTATTTTAAACGAAGGTACAAAGATAACGAAGGCTTTCAAAACAAAATGTTACACTTTAAAAACTTTAGGCCCAAACGATGCACGAGTATCAATTATAATGTCCATAACACGCATAACATATCCAATAGAAATATCAGATATCTGTTTGCTGATTTTCATATGTTATCATGAACGAAAACGTGAGCTTTGTTTTCAAAACACTGGCAACTATTTCTTTAAACCAGAAAACAACATTTTTATGGTTTTTAAGCTAGTGCGATTCGTTTTCCGCCATCTTTGTTTTTCATTGCTTACTTTCAAAATCGCGTTTCATGTCAGTCAGTAACAACGTAGAACTTCGTACGTACGTACATCAGTTCGAGTTGCCACACCACCTTAGCACAGAGATGCAGTTGTCGATTCAAATCCCGTAGTGGTAGAGGTAGCAAGAGTATAAGCAGTAATCGGGAAGATTAGGGTTTCGAGATGTTATTTAAAGAATATAATCCAGTGAAATAAATTTGGAAAGAGGAAAAAAGGGACATGAAGAATTCAAAAGATTAGAATTTGGGAGAACACAAAGAGTGGATGCACTTGCGACACTGCAAACGATTTTGAGCCATGTCATTCAGGGTCTCTAACCATCGGTTGTTATCATCTTGTGGTCCTCAACCAGGTAGTCTACACCTACCAACATGACTCAGTCCACTTGTCAGGATAATAATAAAGGACCTATCAAGAAAATCAGTGCTACCTATTGTTATTAATGGTGACGTGAACCAAACATGAAGATGTTTTTTTTAAGAGAACGCTTATTTGCAATACATGCGAATACAGAGCTATGCTGGTCACCTCTCAAATTACGAAATGGTATTTAATATTGACAACTTTGTAGATAAAATTATTGAATCACACAATGTTACTTAGATATAATGGGAACAAGTGCTTAACAGGAAGTAAACCTTATGTATCATGTGCATAATATTAACACCTGTGACTTCGAGTTGAAGAGAGATATTCTATTTCTCCAACTTTATGTCTGTGGACATCTAATACACTAGAAAACAAGTAGAGAAAATATTTGAGGGGTGTCATAACTTTCTAAGTATAGAAGCTTTATCATCCACTTAAATAGTTGCCTCACTAAAGATTGATCTTTAATACCTAAAAATGCGTAGAAGCTGAGAAAAAACAACATGGAAGATAATATGATTTACCTGGAAACAGCCAGGGATCCATTAACACGAGACAACATGACTTTGCCGCCAGCTTCAGAAATTCGTCGACTTTCTATGGGATTATATGGTTTGTGGTCTTGGGTCGCTAGGAAGGTTTTGTTGTCGCGAATAAGTATTGCTCTTGAATCGCCACAATTTGCCATAATTATATGGGTTGGTGTGACAAGGCAATTACTGCTGTAGAGCCAGACTTTTCATCGGAATCATCAGATGCTAGGTCTCGGTCGAATGATAAAAACCCGTTAATAATGCCTTTCTTGACCAAAGATGTATCAAGCTCTTTATCAAAGCTAAGCTTCTGAAATTCTTCTGTGTTAAGAATAGCCTAAATGTAACCAAAATTAAAAAGCAGATTACTAACTTACATCTAGCAACTTGGCTGCACAAAGCTCTGAAACGCGAGATCCTGCATGGCCATCAAATACGCCGAAGTACGACCAGTATTGGAAAGGACTGGGAAGCTCGGACTTAGCTACATGGGCATCTTCCATTTCTAATCGCCATCCTTGCATGCTTGAAATGGCATACCGAAGTCCGTTTCCTTCCCCCACGTTAACTACTTTTTCTGTTTTGGGTTTTTCCAGGAAGGCACCCATAAGCACATAAGAAAGCGCTAAAAAGTTTATTTGAGAAATTAGTCACTTTGCCGAAAAGAATAGGAAAATTGGTAAAATAACTTATCCGGGACTACAGACGATGCAAGTGAGCTATATCCAGATTTATATAGTGGGATTAAATAATTTTTTTGAGTAATACTTAAGTTTACGTCGACTACTTAAGCTAACCGACTGGATCACATGTTTTGAGAGTAGTCAGACAAATGGACCGTTTACAAAAAGAATACCAGCCAGTATTATAATACCGCCTTTAAAGCCTGCAAAGTTAAGTACATCTTTAGAAGTAATAAGTAAGAAATTTGTGTACGTCGAAGAATTGAAGTGACTAGCTGTTGAAACAGATTTAGTGTAGGCATACCAGATAACTACCTAATTTTGAACTTCGAAGAAGTGGTGGCTAAGCAATCAAAAGGCATATTTCGACCGGCAGGTTGCGTTAGTTAATACCGGTTCACTAGCTTTGGTTTAGACAGATAAACATAATCAACAACCGGGTACAGATTTACGTTGGATCGAGTCATTCTAGCCCGAAGAGATAAATTTATTTATAATATTTATTTGAACACATAAACATTGGTACGAGGGGACACTAAATACAATGAGGCCAGTAGCAGTTATCATTGATTTGTGTAAGGGCTATGATACTGTACTGCTCGGGTGCATAGACCGAAGCAGGTGGTCTTCCTAGGGGAACATGTCCGGAGCTTTCGATATAATACACAAAGCAGTGGATCAATGTCAGGAGATGCAGTCCCATGGTAGCCTGAGATAAATATAACAAAATGGATTGTGAAGGAGCCTAAATGTTATGCTAATGATGATGAATGAATATTCGTCATACGGTTCAGAAAAAACATAACACGAAGGTACGTACATAAGCAGGAACAGTGGGCCCCCAAATTCCCTGGTACGGCCAAGAGTGGGGAGAGTTCGCTCTCCCTCTCGAAAAGCTCTCACATGGCCTCACATGTGGCTTTTGCCAGGGAAGTCATCCTCACAGCCTTTTCGTGGCGGGGGTGTTGTTCACGAAAATGAGAGGACGAAAAGCGAATGTTCGGGGCTTTAACCGGATCCCAAACCAATGGTGCACATGGGCTCCAGTACCCTGCGGGAACAAATGGCGTATGAACCAATTGTTGGCCACCGGCTTCCATGGGACTGCATCTCCTTACGATGCTCCACTGCCTTGTGGATCAGACATTCAGGTCAAAGGCTCCGGGTGTGGCCCCCTAAGAAAACCACCTGCTTTGGTTTGGGCACCCGGGCAGTATCACAGCCCTCACACATATCGAATGAGAATTGTGTGGCGCATATGTATTTGGTGCCTCCTTGCACCAATATCTGTGTTAAAATAAATAAATAATAAAGGAACAGTGGAGCTCACGAGTGAAGGTAGATACAGAGTGCATGCATTACGCTATTGAGGACTATCACGAGTTATACTAGTCATCTTCAACAACCGATCGCCATTATCATGCAGATCCAACCAAGTAGTCTGGATCTAACATGGATCAGAGAAACAGTTGATAACTTCAATCAGTCAGTAAAAACGTAGAACTTCGTACGTACGTACATCAGTTCGAGTTGCCACACCACCTTAGCACAGAGATGCAGTTGTCGATTCAAATCCCGTAGTGGTAGAGGTAGCAAGAGTATAAGCAGTAATCGGGAAGATTAGGGTTTCGAGATGTTATTTAAAGAGTATAATCCAGTGAAATAAATTTGGAAAGAGGAAAAAAGGGACATGAGGAATTCAAAAGATTAGAATTTGGGAGAACACATAGAGTGGATGCACTTGCGACACTGCAAACGATTTTGAGCCATGTCATTCAGGGTCTCTAACCATCGGTTGTTATCATCTTGTGGTCCTCAACCAGGTAGTCTACACCTACCAACATGACTCAGTCCACTTGTCAGTGACTTCATGGACAGTCACATGCAACGAACCTAATATATATGCGCGACGGTTTAAGTGGCAATATTACATAAGCTCGAGACAAAATTATTAAAACAAATTCATGTCTTGTTCTGTCTGCCGCAGACTTTTTCAACCTGTTCCTACACCAAGAAACATCGTGCGTCAACGTAAGCAGTAATTAGGGATACACAAATGTCCATACCAGTCGATAAAGACTCACGACTTCGTCGCGAAAATTTGTTAGTTAATACTATATATTGAACCTTAGCACTACTCACTTAATTACTAGAAAACGCGAGTAATGTTTTGAAGACACCGACGATTAAAAAACTGCAGCAACCATGTCCCCAACTTTCATAGATCATGCTCCACAGACATAAAGTAATGCACGGCGGACTGCTGAGCAGTATTTACATACTTTGTTAACAAGTGGATATCACACCTACAAATGACGCAAAATGGGAAATGCCAGAAAAGCAGTTGCATTAGGAAAAATAAAGTGTGGCCTAAATTTATGTAGGCCAATAACTGGGAAATATATTGAACTAGATGTACCGATATTTAGTAGGTATCATAGATATATTGACAGCAGCGTAATTTAGAGGTTTCCTGGAAGTCCATAGAGTTGGGAAGTAAGGTGGAATGTGATACCATACGGCTTTCGTAACGGATATACACAGAGCAGTGATTAAATCTGTGATCCAGTAGTTGAGCATTGAATGTTACGTAGAGTCTATACTAAGATAATTGGGGTGATAATTTCCCGCAGTTTTCGCTTGGCGGAGCCACCGATAGATAAATTAAATTAGTTAGACAGTACGTGTAAAGAGGGTGAATGTTACTTGATGTTAGTTAACAAAATAACAAACAATATTTGCCCCGCAATACATAAAAGTATTCGGAGATAAGGAGTTTTAAAAGTTAACTACATTTTACGTGATATGACATGAAAGCCACATATTTTGCAGGTTATTAATTTCTGAATTCAGAAACATACAGATCAATGACAGATTCAACAAAGTTGGGCCTGAATATCTAACTTGTAATATGGAGAAGTTCAAGAAATAATAAAGAGTTGATGAGACAGTGATTAAGTACAAAATGTATTTTTAACTTGCTGTTGACCCATGCCTTGAAACTGAAATTTATTGGTAATTAAACGATTTATTTACTTTCAGAGAAGAAACGATACAAAAGTGTATTACTGTTTGAACCACTTAAGTTGATAGATTAGATTTATTTGAACACATAAATACTAGTACGACGGAGAACCGAGTACATATGCATCACAAAAATCTCATTCGATTTATGTGAGGGCTGTGATACTGCTCGTGCGCCCAAACCGAAGCAGGTGGTTTTCTTAGGGGGCTACGCCCGGTACCTTCGACCTAAAAGTCTGATGCACAAGACAGTGGAGCATTGTAAGGAGATGAAGTCTCATGGTAGCCAGTGACCAACAATTGGTTCATACGCCATTTGTTCCCGCAGGGTACTGGAGCCCATGTGCACCATTGGTTTGGAATCAGGGTTTTCCATCTCCCCTAGGTGGACTCTCGGTGTCCATCAGCCCGGTTAAAGAACCGGACATTCGGTTTTCGTAACTCTCAATTTCGTAAATCACACCACCGCCATGAGAAGGCAGTGAGTAGGACTTCCCTGGAGGAAGTTATATACGCGTAGCCATGTGAGAGCATCTTGAGAGGGAGAGCAGACTCTCCCCACTCTCGGCCGTTTTAACTCTGACAGAGTCAAAGCCAACACATCTGAGAACAAGAATATATACCAAGTGAAATTCGCAAACAGCAGCTCAGCATGAAAACTCAGTGTCTAATGAACTTTTACAATCTGAAAATCTATCGACAACAAGCACCCATATTTATTGTCTGACACCTGCCTAGTGAGTACAAGTGGTAGTATAGTGGAGACATGCCTACCGGAATATTTAAGGAACATACAACAAAATGACACAAAGACGTGTTGATAACTTAGCAAATATACACCAGGGAATGCGAGTGTATCCAAGATAACAACTATACGAAGCTGATCATGTCATTGATACAGCACTATAACAAGGACTTTGGACCACCGAATTTAATCACTTGAGATTATCGAAGCAACGGTCGACTAGGACTATGGAGGTGTCACGCTGTAGTCCGAGGGTTATTATAACTGTTAATCTGCAACAATGACTACACAGAATATGGAGTAAAACAGATGTGTAGGAAACGTCTTTCAGGTCTATTCAGGAAATAGAGCGAGGGAATTCGAAACCAATAATAAAGACAATTTGGAGAACTTCCTTACTGACAACCAACTACCGGAAGTGGTCTCCCACATTTGAATGACTTAAGAGTAAATCAAACACGAAATGTATTAAAACGGTTTCCCTGTTGCCAAATCACAGCATGATACAGCACTAAAGTGACACATCGAACAAATTTGTTTCAACATGATCAAATTCGAGCGTGTTTCATAGCCGGAGCGATAAAGTTGGATGAGTAAACAAACCAACTTTACACATGACTAACTGTAAGAAACACTACACAGCTCTGATATAATCGTGGAATATTTGCGATTTGTAGGTATATTCACCTTGATCTGCTTAAAAAAGAACTACCAATACTTTAGGAAATAAAAAAAACACAGTGTTCAGATAAAATCATCACACTTAGCGCAACTCTCTTCACGCAGTTATAAAAGTTACCAATCCGACATACATAACCGGCAGAGTTCAACACCAAATCATCAGAGGAGTAACATAGACCTTCGAACAAGCTTAACAAAACAACAATGTACTCACTGGTTCAGTTACAATAAATTAACATGAAATTCTTAAAATATACTTTATGGAAAGAAAAATTTAGTTTTTTTCTTGTGTGTTTAGATAGTTTATTCAAACGTCGTATGACGATAACGAGTCCCGTATATCTGCATATTTGTAAAATGAATTGTAGTAACAGTGATCTCTAAAACATTATATTCATTAAAAATATGATAATTTGTATGATTGTCTTTTTATTGATTGTTGTCAAGATGCGAGGTAATTTCCAAAGTTTCGCTACATAAAGTACTCGACATAGGTTGTTGTTTGATATCCTTGAATTGCTTTTATTGCTAGGTCTTACCTCAAGTCACCTGTTTTTTTTATAATAATGGATTAAAAGTATTGATGGTTTGTTCGAGGAGTGTTTAACAAATGTATACGGCTTGCGAGCCAGCAAGTTGATCAATAGTTAGTGGCTATAGCCACCAAATATATTCGGTTGAATGACAATTAATGTATATCCGATTGATTTCATACCTTGATCTGCCATTTTTATCAGTTTGCGAAACTGCTCCTAGTAGTGCCAAAGATTCAGATTGACTGGCACTGTCATAAATGTATACGAACTGATATGTCAGTCTTCTTCTTTCTGTGGTACTAAGCATATACGCTTCCTGTCAGTGTCTTTTTCAGCCTATTTTTTTTAAAGTACAACGCAGACCAATCCTCTCATTTTCTGATACATGGGATATGACAATCATCTGATGTCATTTACAAGATTCAGTCAAGATATTCTGTACTGTACCCTATAAACTTAGCAGGCTTGATTTTTTTGTCCGGGACAGATGTCTAAGAACCTGTGTCAGTCTTTTTTAGCAAACAAAACAACGAACCATTTGTGATAGAGTCCTCGTGTTTTGCAAACAAAAGTCGTTTGTCAGATGTCTTTATATGCATTACATTATTCACATACCATCTCGGCTTAACGACACACTTATTCTGTTCTCCTTATTGTTTTTGGTGTTTGTGATCCCCATAGTAGCCATTTGTTTAAAATAACCTAGTCAATTTTCAACTAATAACCAGTAGGATTCTGAATGTTTCGTAACATGATAAGTCAAACTTCAGTGGAGTGTAGTCAGAAAGTACGTAGTCGAACAGTAACAAGTTTGAGTGGGTTTCTGTCGAGTCACCCATCGTGCAAGCATATTTACGACCGGTAAGTACCATTTTTGACTACTTATTCGGCGAGGGAATCTTTTCCGACGAGGTTGTATTCAAAATTCTATTATTGTATGTATTTGTAGAGATTATAAATTGATGATTAAGCGTATGGCCGTTAAATTGATTCTGCAGCATGATGTGATAACATGTTGAAGTAGAGATGAAATGTAATCAGAGAGAACATGGAAATAAGAATAATTCGATTGAGGAACTAGGTGCTTTGATAAATGCACATATAATTGGTCACATGTGAGAGTTCGCGCTTCAAGTTCTTGATGAAAGTTGGTTGGTTAGAGAATACTAACCCTAAGGTTGTGATGAAAGTTCTGTTGATTACTCACTTCTGTCATTCGTCAAGTGCGAGACTTCTTCCAGGCCATACTGATGTAGATATTCCTGCTTTCGTTGTCTTTGTTGCGGTTGTAAACTATCCTGGAACTTCTGGTTATGATTGCATTTCAACATGGAACGGTAAACTGTAGTGTTTCAGAAATTTAATCTAAAGTCTTGACAATTAAAAGCATGTAATGAAGATGGTTGTGAATTATTTCGCTATTTGGATGTTAGTTATTTATTTGGACACATAAATATTGGTACAAAGGGGCACGGAATACATATGCGCTACACAAGTCATCTGATTTGTTTGTGCGTTGTGATACTACCCGGGTGCGCAAACTGAAGCAGGTGGTCTTCCTAGGGGACCATGCCCGGAGCTTTCGACCTAAAGGTCTAATACACAAAGCAGTAGAGAAACGTCAGGGGATGCACTCCTATGGTAGCCCGCGACCAACAGTATGTTCATACACCTTTTGTCCCCTCACGGTACTGGAGCCCATGTGCACCATTGCTTTGAGATTAGGGTTTTCCAACTCCTCTAGGTGCGCCATCCGTATTCACCAGCCCGGTTAGAGCACCGGACATTTGCTTTTCATCCTCTCAGTTTCCTGAACAACATCTACCGCGAGAAGCTGGTGAGTAGACCTTTCTTGGCAGTGGCTGTATACGCGTGACCATGTGAGAGCATTTCATCCGTACCAGGGTATTTGGGGGATGAGAATATATTTTCCTAATGGGAAGCGAAACTTATTTCTAGGGTATTCATCAGAATCCCAAAGCTTATAAATCTAGTATATACCTGAATTTTATCAAGAACTGAGTGTATCCACACAGAAAAGCTATTTTTCAGTGAGTTTTAACATCGTTCCACAACTTTCAGTACGCAAACATGTTTTATGCATATAACTTTCTGTTTTAGATTGTTACTAATTGCTTAAATGAAAAAAACTTGTTTTGTTATAGTATTTAACTGTTCTAATCGGATACATACATATACATGTAGGAAGCTATGTTCGGAAATGAAGATATGTTTGATGACGGGGAGTTATCCGTTGAATATTCCTCAGATGACAACTCCGAACCCAATGTTGATTTAGAAAATCAGTACTACATGGCAAAGTCGCGAAAAGATGACAATCCAGATATGGCACTTTTAGAATTCCAGAAAGTTTTAGATATTGAAGGTACTGGGAATAAAGGTGATTGGGGATTCAGAGCATTAAAGCAAATGATTAAAATAAATTTCAGGCTTGGAAGGTTCGATAATATGATGGAAAATTATAAAGTCCTCCTTACCTACATAAAGTCAGCTGTAACTCGAAATTATTCTGAGAAGTCCATTAATTCGATTTTGGATTACGTGTCAACCTCCAAACAAATGGATTTGTTGCAGCAGTTTTATATCACTACTCTAGATGCCCTTCGTGAGTCGAAAAACGAAAGATTGTGGTTTAAAACTAACACAAAACTGGGTAAACTTTACTTAGAACGTGGTGACTATATGCATTTACAAAAGATTGTTAAGGAGTTACGTGAATCTTGTCAGACAAATGATGGAGAAGACGATCTTAAGAAAGGAACTCAGCTACTAGAAATTTACGCACTGGAAATTCAAATGTATACAGCCCAAAAAAACAACAAAAAGCTTAAAGCATTATATGAACAGTCTTTGCATATTAAATCAGCCATTCCACATCCTCTCATAATGGGAATAATACGAGAATGTGGTGGGAAAATGCATCTTCGCGAAGGAGAATATGCGAAATCCCATACTGACTTCTTCGAGGCCTTCAAGAACTATGATGAATCTGGATGTCAACGTAGGACACACTGTCTAAAGTATCTTGTCTTGGCCAGCATGTTGATGAAATCGGGTATTAATCCATTCGATTCACAGGTTTGCGATTTATTGTTTTATTTTTTAAAGCGATGGGAAAATTGCTTGGTATGGTTACTAACCGAATATTTTGTAGACTGTATGACTTCATAATATTTTGAATCTATCTGATTGTGCTTGACGATGCAACTCATACTCCTCTGTAACTGAATTGTTTAGAGTTATAGCAAACTAAAAGTGCTCCATAACTCCGAAGCAAAAATGGCTTATTATCCCCCATCACAAGGGATTAGACCATCGTCAAAGCATAGAAATTCATCCTAGACAATCTAAAATATGTAAAGACCGGCTCCTAAGTAGCAAATCAAGTTTATATCAGATGGTCAATTTATTTATAACCTTTTTATTCTCATTCAGTCACTTAAATGTCATATAAATTACAATGGACTAATCCTTTTTATGTACTATGAGGCAACTCATCTACTAAATGCAGTTACGTGTATTTAGTATTTGGCCATAGCTTTGGTGTGTTTGTAGTACTTTTAGGTCTGAGTCTGAACCCAAATGGTTGAGATCTGAGTGTTTTGATAATTTCAGAGCTTTCTTCAGTGTGTTGAACCAGAATATGCTCTAAGAGTTTTGCTAGAAGGCAATATGGTTAAAGTGTTTTTAGGTTTCGAAAGCTCCATTATAGTGTCCTGATTATGCTAAGCAGTATAATAATCTCCACATAGTTTCAAACCAAAGAGTTCATAGAGAGTCCCTTAAACTTGCTATTCCTTTGTTTTTGGGGTTAGTAACCACCTGATAGCAACTTTGTAAAGGTTGAGTGGTAGTAGTGTTGATCGATGCTTCAAAAGCTCGTAATTACATGCATCATTTCACATGTTCTTATGTAGTGTCATCATTCCTTACTATATTACATTTCTTAATTGCCTTTATTCCACTTTTTCCCTGTTCAGATAAGTGAAGTACGCTAAATGTGCTTTATTTTGAATTCAAGAAGCAATATGAAGATTTATTTACAATTAAAATAATGAGCCAAGGTTCTATTTCACTTTAGTCCATTACCCTAATATTATTTACATGTTTTCCTTAAACTGCATTTGCTTTGTAGGAAACAAAACCGTACAAAAATGATCCTCAAATTGTGGCTATGACAAGTCTTGTAACAGCTTATCAGAACAATAATATCGTAGAATTCGAGTCCATTTTACGACATCAACGTGATTCAATAATGGAAGACTCTTTTATTCGCGAACACATTGAAGACTTACTTCGTAATATTAGAACTGAAGTTCTCATCAAATTAATTCGCCCGTACACCAGAATACGCATACCTTTCATTTCACAACGGTTAAATCTAAGCGACCCAGAAGTAGAAAGTCTTCTAGTGGCTTGCATTTTAGATAATACAATACAAGCGCGAATTGACCAAGAGCATCAAATTTTGGTGCTTAGTACAGAGGCTACTTCAGAAGCGCGTTACCAGGCCCTTGACAAGTTAGCCCTACGGTTACGGCATTTACAAACGGCGATGTCCAACAGAGTTCCTATAACTAATTAAAGAGCTTTTGAATTTAAGCAATGACAAAAAACCAATACGACATGCAACACAATATACCGACTTTTCCTCAATACACGAAAATTACAAAAAGCGTACGATTTGCAAACAGAAACGTTGTTAACAATCTTATGTAAAATTTACTATGGCAAAAATACAACTGATAACGCATGTAATTTGCTTTCATCCATCAAGTGATAACAAGTACAATGTAGACTGTGTGCATACCAAAACCGATGGATAGGGTTTGTCTGTAGCAACAAATCCAATTATTGGGTCATTAGTTGGTAGGGTAACTACGTGTTGTGATGCGACATGTACAATCTGTTGCTTTTTTGCTGAAGATGAGTTAGCTGTTGTGCGTCTCCGGAGTTCTGTATCCTTAGAATCATTTGATAGGGGCTGACAATATATGTAGATTCTCCTTGTCAAGTCTGCAACTGCCACAAATTTTAGTGGAGATCCGTCCGATAAAACTGGACTAGAAACAAACCTACTTTCACGTTTACTGGCGAGAACGTAGCCAAATGCTTGCAAAGTTGAGACATGTCTCCATACACATGGGTCTCTTCCTGTCAGTGTATTCTGGCATAGTGGTAACCAAACTATCCCATCTACATCATGACGGATGCAGAAAGCGTGAGTAGCATTTGGTTTCCCCGTAGCACAACGAATTTTGAACAACCATTGGTGTCCTGATAAATAGGCCTAAATTAGAGCAATTCGCTTATTAAACAAATTTAATATAAAGAGGGTTATCTAGTTAGTTCTAATCATGTATAAACAACAACTAAGAATGAGTACAAAAACTAGACTGCTTGGATTGCGAGACTGGAAAAATGACTAAACTTATGTGTCTTGAAAGCTTACGTCTAACGTAAATCATTTTTCAGAAAGGAGACTTGGGTGGAATAATTTCAAAATAATACTCGCATAATGCTATTATAAAGAATGCGTAGGTTAACTTTAAACACTGACATCGGTTATTCGTAATATCAGTGCAAATGTTTTCGTATCAGTAACGAGATCATATCCACAAAATATAACAGGCGTTACACCAGTCGTCCCATCAGATTCATCTAGTTGTTTTCAGAAAAAAAACCATATTGAAAACAGGTCTACTTAAGCTCCATTTTCGTTAATAACTGACGGAAGTAGGTTAGCCACTTACTGTAAGTTAGTAGTGCTTGGGAAATCTGTCCAAACTGAGGTTTCAGCGTGAACTTGCAGAAAATTTTCCAAATAACAATCTCATCGATCAGTCATATTTCTAACCCTAAGAACGGTATGGTTACAGGCTATTCAGTTTAAATTATTAGTTCGCAAAATGTTTAACCTACGGTCTTGCTGGGCCAGTTCACTGTATGCAATAGGTTAAAAACATGGGCAGGTCTTAGAAGTTGGTAGCTTACCTGATTGTTTATACCCTCTAAATGGTTAGTAATGTTTATTTCTTGCCAATGAATCATGAGAGCTTTCCGGTTACAAGGAAAGGCTTGCGAATCAATGTCACTGGTGACCTATTGTGATGTAGCTAAATCGAAGCCATTATTTGGCGTGGTAAGCCTGCTCGTTATAAAAAAGATGATATGCACAAAAATAACTTAGAACCTGGAATATTGGGAATTTACCCTAAATTGTTATATCAACACATCTGGGGAACTGTCCGCTTAAGTCAAATGTAGGAAGCATAGCATGCCAGTTCCTGTTAGCTGTTTCAGGTTTAGTATTAGTAGGGTAATTTCATCAACAGTCCAATAATGCTGACAGTATGTTCAGACCAGACGATTACAACATGCACATCCCATAATTTTCTACCGTAAAGCTGAAACACTACTTCTCATTTAAGATGTTTAAGACATGCAAGACTTAATGAAGTCATTAAATTAATAGCCAGGAAAAAGAAAAGGCAAAAATAGGTGGATCTTGTGGTGTCCTAAATCTCAGAGTGTAGCCAGGTGTTATTGCATTACACGGTACAAAGTACCTATTTAGGGTAACTGAATGGTCACTAAGCATGTAAGACAAATCTCTGTTCGAATAATATCATCTAATCAAAAGTTCCTTAATTTACAATGGCCTACTTACGGATACGTTTGTTAATCCCTAATTTCATTTTCACACAATGTCCTAATGAAACAACTACCTAGTTTACCACATACCACTATTTTGAAAAATAACACTAAAAAATTATATTGATGTGGTTAATTTCAATTTTGCTCCAACAAAATTTCAGTTCTTAATGTTTTTGCACTGATATTGACTGCATGTTACTTCGCTTTAATTTTGCATTTTCTAAGTTATTGACTGACTGAGATGTGTATTGCCGATTGACTAACCATCATTTGTTTGGTGTTGATTTTTATATTTCATCATAGTTTAGGGCTGTGTCGAGGAAATAACTGAAGAGGAATATTTTTTTGCCCAATTAGTATTTAAAGGTCTCGAAGGGAATGCCTAACTTATCATAGAATCAGATATCATTTTGAACTTATTCTATTATCACTTACAAAATAAATACATATAGCTTTATTTTAGCAGTCATATTAGATTTAACAATGCCAGTTGGTAACTAACTTAATGTAACTCACTAGCCCATAGATTTGTGTACCCGCGCATCGAACCATACTTTTATGAGAGGGTTGGTCACACTAACAGGGTTTTTGAGTCGAAGTAAATAGGGGCTTGTAGCTTGAATGGCCATGAGTCGGGCACTCAACCACCACTCTAGATTTTGATGAGGCAAATAAATCCCCACACATACCTGATGAGTACACTTGAGAGTTTCATGGTCGAACCTTTGTAATAAAAGATCAGTTTCATCTTCACTCATTGGGAAATCAACTTCTTCTAGCTGGCCAACATTGAAAGGCGGTTTCGGTGTCAAATCAGCCTTTCCATCTGATTGTACACGCATTTGATCATCCAGATCAGTGTGATGTGAGCAGTGCATTCCAGTTAATATTTTATCTTCATGTGGATCGAGTAACAAACGGGGCCAATAATGGGAATTCTGTTTAGTCATGCGTATTTCAATGCTTTAAATGAAAACCACAGTTCGTATTTTCAATTTACTGAATATAAGACAAATACAGAAAGGTAATAAAATATGCACCAACCAACCTTATCTAGTGAGGTAAGAATTTACTACTGGAACATTTCGTAACATTGAGACATTAGGTATATTTTACTACATTTCAATCAACAAACGAAATACAAAGTATTAGTTCTTACGTGAAAACCAAAAACTAGCTCATCTGTATTGAGAAAGGATTTCTTTTAGCCTACTTTTATTATTATTTATGGGGCCGAACTGGTCTATTTCGACAGGCAGAAACTCAGATAAATATTTATGACTTCACAAACTGGAACATTTTTGATATCTACTATTTGTGCATTTTGCTGTATCAACTGTACAACATACAATTTCTGCTACACTTTAGAATGTGAAAACCATCTAAATCACGGAGAGTTATGATTCCCGGTGAAAACAAGTTACCAAACTATTTTTATGTATATAATCGTTTGCATGAATTTGACAAATTATCATCAATGATCTACATCTCTGTAAATTAGCATAGCAGAATAATTCGAAAATTGTTCTCAATAGGGCAATTATTTTTCATCTATTAAAGAGCTAGTTAAGATTAATCCATTTAGGAAGCATAAGGTTTATAAAGTCGGCTTTGAGACATCGTAAGTGTAACAGTTAATGAGACTACCTAACTACCCAAACTAAATTGGATGTGGTGAGGTTAAAACCTCGAATGTATTAGCTGAAAGTCAACTACTCCAGGCGTCTTCTGTTATAATATCGAGCATAAAGATCGGACTTATAATCTTGGATATTTAATGACGTACCGGTTATTTTTTCGATCATAGGTCCACGAGGAATTGGGTTCTACTGGTTCATAGAGCATCTGATCAATCAGTTTGATAGGGCGGTCACTAATTTTTTTAGTTTTCGTGACTGGAATATAGGAGTGCAGGTTCGCGCGGAGTATCTGGTGTTTAGATGACTCTTCAGAGATTGGAATGATTTCCACAGAAACAATATTCGAATCATATGAAGATGGGAGAGTGATACCATTTAGCGTAAAACTGACATTGAGCAAACTAAGATTGATATCTTCATCGGCGTCAGTTTGTGTCCAAGTTACGAGAAACTCGGGATCCTGTCCAATACATGTATCCTCTGTATCCATTTGTTTAGACTCAGAATCTGTTTAAATACAAAAGAGCTACCAATTTTAGTAACATGATTGTTCGTAATTTTTTTTAGATAACTGTAGAGAATGGCAAATATTAACGGCTGGGGTAAAAACTATGGAGAAAATCATTAAAATTCAAGGGACTAAGGAACCACATGTACAAACCAGTCATTTTAATACTGTGAATATGAACTTAGTCACATAGCTTGTTCGAACTTAAACCATGGTTTGGAGGATCACTTATTTGATATTCAATTACAAGGATGAATGTTGAGATTCTATTCCATCTACATCAATTTCCATTCATGGGTGAGGTCTGTAGTTATCATTTAAATGCTGTCACAAGCCTAAAAAATAACGTAGTTACTGAGTTGTATTATATTTCAGACTAGTTTCGATGTGACATGGTAAACCTTTAGTCCTTTCCATTATTATTTTTCCTAAGCAATTGTTTTTTCCAACAGTCAGCGGAATGTGGTTTTCTGGTATTTGTACGGTATATCTATCATGTGTTAGAAATAAAACATAGCGGATAACCTTTGAAAATACCATCATAATAAATGGTACAATACATCCATAGGAATATTAAAAGGAAGACCTGAAACCGATGTATTTGGAAAGTTAGTGTAATAAAGTTTGACGTTCAAGTATAAGTTCGTGTACCCACCTTTAAACGATTTAGTGAGTAAAAGTTGAAGGATATTAGTGAAATCATATTATTTTCAAACGGTATACAAACTACTTAAGCAGTAAATTCACTTGGAATTTTTTTACTTGAATCTTCCCATTATTGTTTAGGATTGCAGTTGATCAGACTCTCATTGGCATATGTGCATTCTTTGCGGATATCCCCAATACTGCCTTAATTCACAAGCATTATAAGCAAAGATGGATAGTGGTTAGTAGTAGAACCCGAGACGCGCGTTTCGCCCTATTTGGATATCAGGACTCAGTAGCTAAGTGGATAACGCGATGGAGTTTAAGGAGAATGGTACTGAGTTCGAGTTCCGGAGCGAACATCGAATCTGGGATGCTGACACATCCAGCTGACGAGTCACAAATATGACGAAACGGGCGTCCTGGGTTCCACTACTAGCTACTATTTATTTTTGCTTATAATGCTTGTGAATTAAAGCAATGTCGAGGCGATCCGGAAATGCCCGATTTGTTCAGAACATTTTTACGTATTGAGATGGTGGAGGAGATTTTTAGCACAGGTGGATGACATTTTACGTATTTCAACAAAAGGTATGGAAACAATCAGCCCCTTATAACGGTTCACGAAACTTACATTTATTAAGGTAGTTTTCATGAACAGATGGATTACAGGAGTCGTAAATAGCATGAAATTTTCTTTCTGAGCAAATATGCAGTGCTGAACAATCACCCTCGAAGGCAGCGAACTCAGGAAATGAAGATGCAAGGAATTTCTGGTGCCGCACTATGGACCAAGACATGTTGGACTCTAGGAAACGAAAACAATAAAGCCTGTGTTTTGTAGGTGTTTTCAAAAACAACTTACAAGTATTCAGTTAAATGCTATTAGTATAGTAGAATATTCAAGGTGCAAACGTCGATGAGCAGAGAATATGGATGCTTATTATCTAGTGAAATGTCATACGGAGAATCGAGTTACACTTTTGATTATACTTATCATTTAGAAATTATAATAACCAGCTATATTGGTATTAACCGTAAGACCATTACTTCAAATTCTAACTGTCCAGGTGTAAGGGAATCGAATAACTCAATTAGTTGTGCTTTAATATTTTCGATTCTTTATTTCTATTCGTGTTCTCCTTATGGGTTGATTATTTAAATGTCAGGATGTGCATCAAGTGATTGGTAGGTTTTCGTTTTAAATTGCTTGTCTAGTTGACTCGTGGGAAGTTGAACAGGTCAACTAGTAAATCTGTGGTATGTTGTAGTAGAATAATCACAGATCAGTGACTACTTTCGTGTCTATGATCCACAACTATTGAATGCCAATAACAGAATTGTTGGGAAGTGACCGATGGTTTCTCCAAATTGTTGGTCACTAGGAGTCAATTTATTAACTCATATTTTACTCATATAGGTTGACAAAAAAGGAATTGCGAATGTATCATTTAGTAGTTACTCTCACTAGTTTACAAACTGATAGTTTTGTTCCATCGCAAAGGCGTAAGATAGTGAGTGTTGGAAGAGCGACTTTATGTGCTTAGTTGAAACTAATTACATAAAAGTGATGAGACTATGTGTAGACATTGTGAATGGAATATTGAGTTAATACTACTCTAACTGCCTAAGAGAATCAAACAAATTGAATAGGAGGAACGATGATTAGTGGATTACATGGAACATAATAATGAAGTAAGACTTTGGGTATTAACCAAAAATAACTCAAGATGCAATTCTGCAGCTACGTAAATCAAATTTATGCAACTGTGAAATTTAAACGAATGCGTTGGAACCAAATTTACTCTATTTCCTATCACCATACACGAATAATATGATGAAGAATTGGAAAATGAGCAAATAACAATTTCTATGATATAAGTAGTGAAGGACTCTTTTATGCCGTCTGGAGTTTAAACTGTGATTGTCCAGAATCAATATACTAAAGCATTTGACTTTCTTTCAGTTGTTGGGTAGATGAGAGATATAAATATATACTACTGAGAAACATTTACAATTCCGTCTTACCGCCAACCTAGAACAATATTTAATAATGAATTACTGACCAAACAATTGCTAGTATAACCAGGCCTACAGTTTTTTTATAGATGATCAGTATAGTTATGATTAAATTCGTGTCTAGCATAAAAGCTGGGTAGTGAAGTGTTCATCTTAAAACAAATTTCGGTACGAACAGGTGCTATCTAAAACTATCTTTCTAAAATAATCTGGCGTCTTAGATTATGAGTGGTAACTAACATAAATGATTAATATCAAAATGTAACCAAATACCTGGTGAGCTGTAAGAGATCCATTCAAGATACGTCACATAAGTTGAAATCGAATCGCTACATATGGGATCTTCTTCAGATTTTTTCGAAATACCAACAAATAAACAATCCAAAAAGAGTTGATGAGAAGTGTCATCAGAATTAAGTACACAGTCTAATAGCTGACTATCTTTCTCATGTACAGGAGGTTGGATCCTGCTAACAACCTGAAAATATATTTAGGATTTAACAGATATAATAACAAACTAGGCAACGCAATTAAGTTAAATGTGTTTATTAGGTTCGTATATTACACCGGAAACTTCGAGAAAACTGATCGATTCGCATGAAGACTTCAGAGCAGTTGAACTTTATGCTTGATTTTTTGGTTTGGCAGTTTTTATACGCATATGTAATACTTTATTGCAATGGAAACACATTTCCAACAAACGCGTGAATAAAGACCTAGCATAAACTTTACAAACAATAAAGGAAACAGGAATCTGAATCTTCAACTTATTGAGCAGTCGAAATTGTTGAGTCTCCACTACCACTTTTAGTACACAATGGCAATAATCAGAGATTGAAGAATGTAGTGGCGGAAATAAGAGTTCATATTCTCTACTCAGTCATTACTGACTTGCCATGTCAATTTTACACGACCAAAATGTTATCATCAATTTCGTACACATGCATTAGTTCTTTCCGATAAAAATTTAAATATAGCAACAAAACAATAAATATTTGTGACACTACAAGTACAAGAAATCAGAATTTTTAACGTTCCGCCACTCAGTTTAGGTTGCTTCTTTCATGACTTTAAATTCACTCAAAGGAGCTAACAAGATCATTATCTTAGAAAGAAATAAGCTAAGGGAAAAATAATGTCAACACTTGATGATTTAATTCTACTAATAATAGCATTAAAACATACTAAGACGAAGTACCTTTAAATAACAACTCAAAAGAAATTTCATGGGTCAGTATCGTAGTTTTATCTTCCTGCTATAGTACAACGGAAGAACTGGAATGCATCTCGAAGCTAAATAGAATTAAAACTGTCCATAAAGCAACCAATACTCTATGAAATACTTAGGTTAGATCAAGGGCAAAGATCACTTTCGCACCAGTACAGAATTACTTCTACAGATTAAGTTGTATCGAATGTGATGCTTTCTATTTTGGAAAGTCTCCTCGTAAAATCTTAACTCATGCCACGCAACACCTAAGCTATACAAAAATACCCAACGATCCCGTGAAACTGGAAAATTTACAGACTAAATGGACAATAGTAGTATATGCTGTATTCAACAACCACGAAGTCAATATTAAAGATATCGAAACAACTCGGAAAGATTTTTTTAAACTATAAAGGGCGCGTAGCTGGGGCGTTTCACGTAATCTTAAAAATCTTAACTCTACTTCTTTAAATCACAAATTTGACATTCACTAGCAGACGCATAAGTATACATCGTGATGTCTCATACAAAATCACTTTGACCAATGAAAAGACGGTGACAGAATCAGAACAGTTTTGATTTTGACTGAACTAAATATTTGACCTAATCCTCTTTATTACTCAAACTTGTGTTAATTCGATTATCTATTTATTTACTCTGAAAAATCGAGCTGAACTAAGTTGCGAAACGTCAGATATCCTAATTTGTCAAATTACATCACAATTTGATTTTATCATTTATTTGATGTCAACTGGAACAGAAGTCTTCCATGGCTTCATACCAATTTGAAGTCTTTTCCAAGTCTTTCATGTTCAGTATTATTCTTCGATGCAGCCTATATTCAGAGAGCGGAAGTGATTAGACAGTATTTTGGAACTGAGAAATGAAAGAGTCTCGCTGGGTCAGCAGCGGTTAGATGACCGCTTCTTCGCGACTGTGGTTGTAATAAAGTGAGAAATATTCACGTATTTAACCTGAAGTATTACGAGTTAAATTTTAATTAAGATGTTACAGTTGACTCAAAATAAGTGATGACTGGATTGTTCAAAATGTTCACTCAAGTAATTCAGGAAGTAGCAATTAGTTTGAAGATCTATTCAGTCCCATAGTTTCATGATGTGATTAGGAGTAAAAATTCGAAAACTAGTTATGCACAGGGCTACTTTAATATGAAAAGCAATTACAGTAAGTACTGGAGCTAATTTATTCTCAGCATACAAAACCCTGAAAGAAAAAGAGCTAACATCAAATGTCGAAAAGGCAAAATATAGAACTTACGTTGAGTAAATCATTGCTTTGTTGAACATCTGGCTTTAGGAGATATAGATTACCTAAACCATCATACAAAGATACATAATATAGCGCAGGAAACTGGATCGACACACTACGAAACTTTTCATCAGATGGTTCACACCAATCAGGAAGTGTGAAAACAATGGTTCCTTGGTTGAAGTTTTGTGGATACTGTGGTACCTTCATCGACACTAACTACAAAACTATTTGTTTAAACAATATTAGAAACCTACAGATCCATCGGTACTCATGTAGTAAACATAGCTGGTATCAAATGGATTAACACACAGGCAGTTAATATTATTGTATGCTTTGAGATGTTGTTTAGAAGTAACTTCGTTGAGAGGTTTGCAGTAAACTCCATTTTGACTACTTGCCTCATAAATAGGTATTTTAAGCAGACTGAGTTTGTAAGACTCAAAATTCGGGTCGAGAAGTGAATGGTCGGGTCTTAAACTAACATTCATTATGTAGAGTGGCGACCCGTTCAGTTTTCGTTAGATTTTTGATTGAGTTGCTGACGAAAACGTGGTACCAACAAGGTTGTTGCTCCAGTTGACACAAAAGTCTGAAACATATACCACACAGTTGACTGACCAAGCTGAAATAAAAAGTATAGAAAGCAGAAAATATAGTATTTACATAGTGAATCGTGTTGCCAGTTGTCGAAATACTTAATTCTAAGTGAATTGGTATGTATGGGAACGAGTTGTATTGTTCTATAAACTCAGGACTATATGATGCTATCAACTAACCATGTGTTTATATGCTTATCTTCTATTCTTTGTGAGCAGCTGACATGAAAAGACTTTTCCCTTCACTCAAGCAGTTTTACTTTAAGGATAGATCTAAAGTCTTTGCTGGCATTGAATGAGGTCAATTTACGTACGCAAAAACGAATCACAATGTTGGCATATCTAAGATGAGTTTTGTTCGTTCTGGATGCAAAATGTCGCTTTAAGACTGATCTGCATCAAAACTTGAACTAACAATGGGCAGCGAAGCGGTTGAGCCTGTCGAATGTTTAACTTATCTTGGAAGCCTTATTAGCCCTAGTAGGTAGATGCCCGGCTAAATCTCATTATGGATTTAGAAAGCTCAATTGGTTCTTGCCAACTTATGTTACTTGTGGAGTAGTGAGATGTCCATTTACAAGTTCTCTCTGTTTTAGTCTATGGCTACGAAATGTGGCCTTTAAAAAGAGAATTTTCTTAGGTTGTTGGCATCTGATCATAAACGCCTTTGAAGCGTTGTTCGGTTACGTTCGGACAGCCAAATGAATAATGTTAAGATTAGACAGAAGGTACTAGGTAAAGAGAGAAAGTCCATTGATGGTGTGGTAAGTCTTTATTGATTGAGGTCATGGGGATGTGCTACCGCTCACCTCAATTCACGATGGTGGCTAATGTAAGAGTAAGCTGAAAGAAATTTAAAGGTGGCTAAATGCAAACGTGGAACCAGTTTATAAAGTCACTGATTAGATGGAGATTACCTAGTTGGCCCCGAGAGATTATTGTAACCAGGGGTTAGAGACTTTGAACAACATGGTTCAGGATCATTTGCGATGGTGTGGTTAAATTCACTCTTTATCATCCCTTAGATCTTAAGCGTTCAAATGACCTCATAATTCATTAATATTCCACAAATACGTGTTTTTATTAAAGTCATATTTTCAGTCCCTAGTCATTTATACTACTATTAATCTAAAATGTCTTGACAGTTTCATCTCGCTTTGTTGAGGTTTGGCAGTTTGAAATGATACATATATGTGCCAGCTTTTAAGTTATATTTGACTCGGTGGCCGACACTATTACTTTAATCCAGTACGGTGAAGAGTTTAGCGAAATGAAGCAAAGGTGCAAAATCAATGCAATTTTAGGACTTTATGTTCTGTCGATGATACCTAACAGATAAACAAAATTTGTTCTTAAAAATTAACACCTTAAATATATATATCTAGGTTGAATCTAAAATATAATTTGTGTTTTTATAAACAGTTCATAACCAACCGTGGAAGGTCAGCAGTAAGGCCGCTGGCTCATCTAGAACAGTAAGATCTGATAGTGGGAAAGGTACCTGATAGATCTTTGAAGAGAATGAAAGTGTTAATAGAGTAATTGACATGGAAAGATTATGGTGCATGCAATATGAGGACCACGCATAAGCGTAGTGTAACATGAAGTTATGAAAATGGAGAGCAGTAACCTGAAAGACGGTTTGAAGTGAAAGGGATCGGTAAAGTACAGGTTATTCGGATAACAATGATTACGTGTGAAAGATTATCTTTAGGTGAAACGAGAGGTCGTTATGAAGGACTTTCAAAGTTATTGCAAATTGTTCAAATGTTTATCAAATTGCCTTTTATAGAGATTTTATTGAATGGCTTACGCGTGCAAGTGTGGTTTGTGACGTTTTTGACGTTAGTAAAACTTTTTGATTTCAAATTTGGATTCGCACAATGTACCTGATTGGTAGGACTAAATGATCTGATACTCAATGAATAATTAAGAACAGAATGACTCGACTTCCATATTTTGGGGTTTTCCCCAAAATTTGGGGAAGCCACAATTGAAAATTTTGGGAAAATGGCATTGAATCTCCAAAATTTCCCCAGGTGTGGGGAAAACTATGACGTTTCACATGAATTTGGGGAAGACCCCTAAATTTAATTGAAATCAGCAGACTCTACAGGGATATGTCTCCGAAATTACAATGTCGGATAAATGGAAGTGGATTGAATACGGTTTAGTCTTCAGTAATAAGGACAGTAGGTTGGTGAACCTGTATTAATCCTGGCAGTTTGCCTTCCAGTAAAGGTCCAGTTTCTCCTTGAAAATATTTACTGATGGGGCTGATACCACTTGTTCGGGAAAGGAGTTTCAATGATTGACTACTCGATGAGAAAAACGGGACCCCACTCTAAGTTTATTACATCGCGGTTTACGAACCTTCTTGCCATGACCTCGGAGATCATTAGTGCTGGAGGGAGCAAAAAGATAAGACATATTAACACCCAAATCATAATTAAAGATACGAAATGCCAGTATAAGGTCACCTCGTGTCCTACGATACGACAAGGGGAAAAGATTTAGGCATTTTAAACGCTCATCGTAAGGGAGTTTAGAAAGACCCTTCACTAATTTCGTTCCCACACACTGGACACGCTCAAGTGAGTTAGTATCGTTTACCAGACATGGGCTAGCTGCTTGAATACAGTACTTTGAGTGTGGTCTTACATAGGTGGGATATAAAATTCGAGACGTTTCCTCGTCAAAAGATTTGAACGCTCGGCGGAATGAAGAATTTGAAGGTGATTGGTTGCACCAATGTGATGTAATTTTTCTACAAATTAGTACATTCTAATTAGGTTGTTGGAAAAAATAAAGCTGAATTGAAGATATATATCTTCGATTGAAACAGGTCGTTTATACATAAGTCTCTTGTTTTGACATAAAATATAGTTTTGGATTAAGAGCGTTATGAATTTTATAATGCTTGTGACTGTAACAAATCCAGTTGATAAACACAGAAAGAGACAAGACAGAAAATAAACGAGAACCCACAGCCTGGCTTCTTTACTGTCCCCGCTTAATGACCTTGTGATACGTATTACTTTCAAAAGTTTTAGGTGACCTTCGAAACACTGTCCAATACATAGGAGAAAATCTTCGGTCACAGTTTTGAAGATTTAGTAGCAGAAAAAGTCTACTTACCGTTTATAGGTATTTGCGTTATGGTTCGTTATGGAGAATAATAAGATGTTGTATTTGTTGCTTAGATCAGAAAAAAGCAATCTGTTGTGTTGGAATTATATTGAACGGCTCAAAGAACGTTTCCGGAAGATGCGCTTCCGATATGAAATACCAGTGCTAAATATATCACTGGTAATTGGAGTTTGGCAACTTGTTCAAACGTAACTCCTTTATAATCAAAATATACCAACACAGTCACATCAGAAGTCAGAAGTGAAGGGCTTGAATATATAGTTAGAAAGTTATCGATATATCGAGAAGTGTTTGGTTTTGGCTGACTAGCAGTTGAGGAGGACGCGTAGCATGGCGTAATCACTAGTGATTTAAAGCGGATGCGCGGCCGAGCGTCATCAGCTAAGTTGTGTGCAGTAAAACTAATGAGGTCAGTAAAGATGACAAAGGCATATGTAATGATTTATTTTGGCTGTTTATTTGTTGCTACATAACCTACAGATGCTAATCAGGCATGAACAAAAATATATTTTTAACTGTTCCTTTCTAATATTGCTGATAAACAACTGATCGATCACGGGATGATGTTCAATGTCATGTATGTCAGGTCCTTCTTAGTTCAGATTAAATCCTTTCAACCAAGTTGCAATATGGCCACCAGTCTAGGTGACTTGAGATCGTGTGCACTTTGTTGAGATAGGATGATGGTTAGAAGAAGTCAGTAGGAAATCTAGGACCCAGGTTTCGTGCTACTTGGCACTCGTCAGCAAGGTGTACCAGTATTATTATGCGGTCCAGTGCTCCCTGGCGGATTCTATCCCATGTCACCCATTTTCACCACTCAGTGATCGATCAATTGTTAATCCATCTCGGTCCTATAAGAGGCCAATTGCGGCTCGGATAACTCAGTGATAACGTCTTTGACCGTGAAGATGTGTGGCACGGGATCGAATCCGTCGGGAAGCATCAGTCCCTTGCTGACGACTATGAAGTAGCACGAAACCTAGGTCTAGGATTTCCTGTTGACTACCCCAAACCACCATCTTATTGCTGACGAGGTCTGAAATAATTTTTCTTTGCACTGATTCCATTGATTAATAACCGCTTTCTACAGACTGTCAATAAACAACCAATACACGTCATAACTTTAAGTTCCAACAAGTAGTAAACTGTTGTCAACGGTCGAACATTAATTTACAACGAAATCAATTGATAAAGACAATTCCACACCAGAGTCAAATTATAGCGTAATGATCATAGAAGATAGCGAAATATAAAATATGCTTTCACACATTTCGGTTATAAGTTGACATACTGAGCAGGAAGAAGAATCAAAGCAGTGACAACACTGGAAATAAAGGCATTTGGGAGGGACTTTCGAAGTATTCAATAGGTATACTGGTCACTAAAATTCCTCCAGCTGTTTGAAGGCATTTTTGAATGCATCAGGTCATGGTTCCCATAGCTAGCTTACCTATGTTAGTGAAACATATAGGTCTTACAAAAGTATGGCTACCCACAGATTTTTCTAAGGTGCCACATCTTGCTTAATTCATTTTGTTCAATCAGCCTTGTGACGAAGTCATCGGTTTGTAAACATAGTTGAAGCATCTATAGGACCATTATCAAAAGACTCAAATTCACGCGTTTCCTTTTTATATCATCTTGTATTTCACTCTCAAAACAAGTTGTCAATTTAGTTCATCCAAAATATAATGATGCTAAACGAGTGAGCCATTGTCAATGATTTATTGCCATATTAAATATGATCTTATGTCCACTGAAGTCTTTAGTTAATCAGCGTCCGTTGTTGAATTCAAAACTTCGAAAAGTGTAGGTCCTATATTAGTTTGTATCTTATATGGAATAATTATGGGTCACAGTCAAAATTACATGGAAAATAAAGTTTTGTGATTATTGATTAAATAAGCACAAATGATATGGAGATCGTAATGTGGTGTGTGCTACTTATACGGACAAATCTAAGCAGTATGTATCCGGATTGGGATTTGAATTCCTACTGACAGAAGAGAAACGTGAAGAGCAAAGAAAGAAGAGCAAAAATGGTTGAAGTAAATAAATTGGTTTATTCTGTCCAGGTCTTCGACCATTAAAATTCTAGATTCGACCGTGTACATTTAAACACTAAAAACTACAGGTCACTTTATTTTAAAATGCAAATAATAATAGGTTATTCAGTAAGTTTTTAAACGATGGAGAAATTTTTTTATTGCTCGAATTACACAACAATGAAAAGTCGTCTTACGCTTAACAAGTCAACCATGCAACTCTTCTTGTCGTACAAACCAGGACCTTCTACGTAACATGGCAACTAAATGCCCATGGATTTTACTGCTGATATCAACTGTAAGACAAGATAATAATGCTTACCTTAGTAATCGCTAACGATTTGCTTAAAAAAAATTACGAGCTAAGACAGCTACCGAAGTGTTTGATGAGTTTGACTTTTACCAATTATTAATACTATGGACTGTATATAAAGTCTTTTATGAGATTTGCAAGGTATTCTTTTTTTTGAATGACTAGCTAGTGTAAAACCAACCTTCTTTGAGCTTACTTATTAATGTTAAGGTACGCACAACCTCACTTGTGTCTTTTGTCGGTATTGCGGAAAGGCACTGAATAAGCGTTGTGAAACTTTTTACTTCCACATTAATGCCTGTTATTCACCAATTTAAGCGACCTGTTTGGGTGGTTTCGGTCTGCCGGGGTTGGATGGGAATGGTTTTACCTTCCAGCTTACGTCGAAGTCACACCTCACGGTTAACACATAACGTGTATTACTCTCTCGTTGTATCCAGGCACTGTGTCTACTTTGATAATCTTATAGAATAAGGATAATATTAATAAATAAGTGTATTACTAAGAAAACACAGAAGAAATAGATTATGATCGGTACTACACAGGTCAGTTCATGGCGTACAATCAATCAGTAACTTGTCTGCCGGATAATTTGTTTAGGGCCCGATAACATTTAACTGGTCCTACGAACAAAATCTCATACCAAGAAACCATCATGGATACAAAAAGCTATCCGAAAAAGTAAGCCAACTGATTTATCTCTCTTTTGCTTACTTCAAGTCCCAAGGAGAGATATAGAAAGTATCTATGGAATCAATTGACATAGGTGACATTTTGAAAACTGAATTAACATGAGTTTCTTTATAATTATTACTATTAGTATTACTACTATTATTAAGGCTATGAATCTTTCAGATAAGTATAAATTTTTTTGAAAAAACATCAGTTTTTGAGCATCAATTATTAATAGATTAGTCACAGTGATGTTCGAAATTATATATCACCATATAAGTTAAATATGGATGCAGAATACGTTATGAGCGCCATGCTGAATGCTATAATAATTTTGAACCTAATATCTGAATAAGATAACCAGTACTGATTGGTTGGTTTGATCGGATATAAAAAGTGCGGATCTACCTATGACCATATTAATTGATAATAGAATGTTTAATGCCTAGCATACTGGTGTGGTATCATGATTTCTGTTAAATAATTCTATCTCTATTCCTTATACTTACGTGTTTATACGGGTTCATTTAATCAGGTAAGTAAAGCAAAGGTCAACTTGAGGTCTTGCATTCATGTATAACTCTCACATCACACACATAGTCTCAACGACTATCATTGTCATAGCTTAACTAGTGCATAACATATTTTATAGTTGTATTCTAAAAATGGCTTGTCAATTTCTTTCTAAAATTTTTTAAAATTTTACTCGGATATTCACATAATTTATGAAGCACGTGGAAGTACTTCAGTGTAGCTAGAATAAAAAAACAAAATACAATCAAAACCGCTTTTCAGATGAAGGCAAAAATAATGAATTATTTGACATGTGCTACCAGAAGTTAAGCACGAATAACAATAATACAAATAAATTACACACACGTATAAAGGTGATGAATAACAGTTCAAAGAGGATAACATAGTTGTAATTCACTTTCTTAAAATAGTATTAATTATGAATGTATAATGATCAATGTATAATATTTGCCAACATATTTTCATATTAATCAAAAATAATTTTCAAAATAATTTTGAGTTAATAATGCAATTGGCATTTTACTGATTATATACTTTTGATGTTATGTGTGAAAAAATAAGAAAGTTTAACTACTTTTCTTTGATAACCTGTTTCATACTAATAAATTAATTGAATATCAGTCATCAATCGGTGCACATAATATTGGAATAATATAGAAGTAATATTCTTAAGTTATTATAATTCTTTTCATTTATCTGAGTAGGATAGAATAAGTCGTCAGTTCCAAAAATGTTAAAATTAATACAATTATGTGATAATTAGAAGTATTTGAATTATTATACGAACTAAGAATAACTGAAATAGCGCAATTTAAACCAAACAGAACTAGATAAGCACAAACGAAAGTATTGTATTTCGAATTCAAAATCAGGCAGACATGAAGTACAAAGGAATCTAACTTAAGTCATTTAGCTTTTCCTGAAAGCAATTTTTATAGTTCAGTCAATGGAATATTTATGAACGGTTTTGAAGTAATCCCTTTGGTTAGTATCTTGGTAGAACTTCTTAACGTCATCCAATATGTGATGCAGAATGTTCAGTATTACTGTAACTGTTGTGTAAACTATGTTCAAATATCAATGAACTACTACTCATTTCAACAATTAGTCATCTTTAAAGGAATGGTTGGAAATTCAATTTATCCCGACATTAAAAAATATATAAAAAAAGTCTTAACGTCAATGAGTATTCTAGAAAATTCGAATATTTTCGGAGAATATAGTATATTTTCAGCTTGAAAACTGAAAATCTTACCATCAAACTGAATGTTTTTTTTAAAAACTAAAATGAAAATATTTTCGTTAGTACG